AATTTGGGCTGCCGTTCGTGCGCCGGGTCTCAATCACGACACGTTTTTGTGAAACCGGAATAATCATATTCCACGCTGGTTTTTTTCGTCGCAGACTTTGTCCTCCTTCATCCGCGGCTGCTTTTCACGCCAAGCGTTGGGTCAAACGGTCGCGACCTTTTGGATGAATGTGACCTGGGCATCAAGACCGCAGGCGCATTTGACACGCGTTGGGTTTTTAAGCAGGTGCGAAAGAATTTGGATTGTTGGTCTTTGAGAATTCAAGCCAAATGTTGTGATTTTTCCCCAAAAGATGCCGTGACGTATGTGGCGGCAAATGCTTTTACACTCCTGACAGACGAAGATATGGGCATTGACCCGGGGTGTGCTGGTGACTTGAGCCCATGAAGCGCAGCCCACTAAAATATGGGATGATAAATGGGGGCGGGGGGGTCAGTGGCGTTTGGCCCCAAAGGTTCATCGCGTTTTACCTCCACCGCCGACCGGCTGCCATTTGTCTGGATGACTGAAGCGTCATGAAAGGAGCGTTTCGGGGCGCATTCGTTTCATCTGTGGCATCGGCCGTTGAGTTGCTGATGGACGGACGAGCGGCGACACGCATACAAATTGACTTCTTGCTTCCAAGAAGCGCCACCGTGTTTTTTTTGTCCCCTCCGCCCAGAAGTTGATGAGTGTCATATGCGACCGAGAAGTTGTTTTGTTTTCGATCGCTTGCTTTCGACGCGGAAGAGTTGAAAGACGGAGGCGAGCCGGACGGCGAGATGAAGGAAGCAAATTTCAGGTGGGCCAAACTTGGCCGGATTCAAATTCACGAGACATGAGATGCGTTTTTTTCTTTCAGCCTTTGGATGGCAAACATCACGGCTTGGCGTATCCAAATTAAACGATAAAAATTGTTTCGCAAAATAAGAATTGAAAAATACATTCTTTTAAATTTTGGATTGAAATTTTTATTTTGTACGAGCATTTATTTCAGGGAAAAAAAAAGTATATCGTGGAAATTTAACTGTGAATTTTGTTTTTGTGAAAAATTACATCCAGAAAATGCTCAAAATTAAAATGTTACATTTTTGGCAATTTTCAGTTCATTTTTCATAAAATGCTAATATTTCATGTTTATATTTTATGAAAATATGTGATTATAGTTGATACGGCTCTTTTGTTAAAAATTTCGGAACTGCAAATATTTTCATCTGGTCGCCATTTTTTTTTTTCTGATTGCTCCGTTTTTTGACGGCGATCATATTGTGGAGGGAAAAAGAATGCGACACTCCATTCCAAACCGCGATGAACATTTTTTGTGGAGGAAAAACAAAAGCGAAAAAAAGGTGCCACGATCGCACAACAGGAGAGTTGAAAAAGTCCCGTCCTTCCTTCACTCGACACACTTTGGAGCCCAACTTGCGCTGTGGGCGTTTGCGGGATGCCAAAGCATCTGGTGGCATTTGGCGGCGGCAAAATTGCTTTTCAACGGGCCATCTGTGTGCTCTCTTTCCAAATTAAACATCTCGCCCCGCCGCCGTACACAAAACGTGGGATTGATGTGAACCGCGGCGCCAACAGACAGCCGCTTTCATTGCGCACTTCGCGTCAGTCGAAAGCGTTTTCTGTCAATCGCAAGCCGGTCGCCGAATGGGCCGCGTTTCGCACGTGGTCGCTCACGGGACTCGGTGACCCGATGCCACCAAATCGCCTGAGTCTGCGTTTGACTCGAGTCAGGGAGCCGAATCATCGCCGTCTGTCGCGTTTTGGCGAGTCAATCAGCGGACTCAACTGAACTCAATCTAACTCGGCCTTGTTTCTCTTGAGTGGACTCCGAATGGGTCTCTGACTCGCCAGTCGGCTCGACTCGCCGACTCAGTCAACTAGGTCATCGTTTGACTCGGTGTTTCCGCTGAGTCGGAGTCTAACTTGTGTGAGCCGAAGAGTCAAGTGAATCACTGGACCACACCGTGGCTCTGCTGGTTTTGCCGACTGGTCGGATTATCCGAATCCGCCGCCTTTCCAGTGCTCAACCAACTCGGCTCAGTCGTCCGATTCAACTTAACCAGATTTGTCTGCTTGCTTTCCACTAACTCGGTGCGCCCGCCGACTCCCGTCAGCGAACCGAATCGAGCGAGTCTGCCGCGTTTATGGCAAGTCTGCCTCTTTTCAGTTGAGTCCTTGGAAGTCTTCCCGTTTTTGGGTGAGCGCGCCGTCCGATCCACCTGAATCGTTTGAGTCCGCGTTATCGATGGTGCGCGGGCGACGTCGAGTCGATCACCGGATCGGACGGAATCGCCGGAGTCCGTGTTGTTTCGCGTGGCGGCGACTCGGATGGTCCGAGTCCATTTTGTGTTTCCGGTTGACTCCCATCGACTGTCGTCAACCGAGTCCGTACCGTTTTTGCGGCCCACCTGCGGGATGGGAGTGGACCTTGCGCTCCGATAATCCACGGTTGGCCGCCACGTCGTCACCGCTGACACGCGGGCTGGCGCTCGGGCTCGCTGAGTGTTACCGAAGTGACATTCAGTCAAGAGGCAGGCTGCCGCGACCGGCTCACTGCACTCGCGCCCGGAGCGCCTGCTCCCTCTGCTTGGTCAGTCGTCGCTCATATGACCAACAAGGCCCCCCCCACCCCCTCCCCCCACTGCTGATGGCAACCGGCCGAATGTGACTCAGTGAGCGGGCTCCCGCAGCTTCCTGTTCGGGTGGCACCTGACAGCGCTGCGCTTTTTGATGCCAACGTGCGCGCGTGCGTGTGCCACACCCTGAGCCAGGCCATGAATGAATCAATTCATTTGGGATCAGAAGTCGGTTTGAGGAAGATTCCAAACTCCTTTCTGGCTCTTTTTATTTATTTATGCAGCAGAAAAGGAAGTCTCTGTTGTGTCGTAGATTTATTGATCGGGTATTTTTTTTGTTTTCGATTTCTGGCATTTTTTTTTTTTTTTTGTCTTGCTTTTAAGTCCATGCAGGAAGAACGGAAAGCCTCCCGACCTTGGCGCCGTGAGGCGGACGTGCGAACCGGTTGACCGCCGCGTGGCCTATTTTCAATGCGTTTGTTCACGACTTCTTTGAAATGCTGACTCAATGCATTCATCTCTGAAATGACCTTTGCGGAGACTCAAGCCTCGATTTCATCGCGTTCCACAAAACTCGTATTTCCTGCCGACCCCCAACAACCGTGTCTCATTCAAGTACAAGTGGGAAAATTGGGAAAATTTCGACGGAAACGACCATCATTGGTGCCTTTTGTCACTTTGACCTTCATCACACTGTGTTTGGAGAACATCATCATCATCATCTTAGCAGCGCCATTTTGGCACCAAACATGTTGTGCCCCCTCCCCCTCCCCCCCTACTCGCCTGCAAGTGTTTAAACATCACATTTTGCTCTGTGTTTGGGCGGGGTGAATATGATTTTGCTTCGTCCGCGTCCTCTCGCCCTGTCACCAGCACTGTTTCAATGTTGAGATTGAAAGGCGGGTGAGCGGGTGGGGCGCCGTGTGCGCGCATGTGTGGAAACTCGGCCTCTTTTTCGCAATTTTAAGACCACTGCTCTTTCTTTTCCTTTATAATTATATGACATTTAAGGCTCCAATTTTTACTTGAATTTTCATTGAAAATTCAAGCCAGACAGTTGCACTACGTGACAGTCGACACCCCCCAAAAAATGAAGCAGACCTTGCACGGATTCGTACCAGGATCAAAGGAACGTCACAAAGATAAAAGGAAAGGAAACAAGTGAAGACAACGAGGGACTCCAAACGAAAAGACAAATCGTCCCTTTCAAATAATCTCGTGAGTGTGTTTGCCTCAACGCTGTCAAACAATCCACAATCAGCTCATTAGCATACCAGGTTTTGGCTAAATGGAAAAAAAAAAACAAAACAGCTTGTGGATGACGAAGGAATGACGAGTGTGTCTCTTGTCTCATTGTAAACATGTCGGAGCGAAGCCATAACGTGAAGGACGATGACAGCGCAGTGGACAGTTTTTATGCTCCGTGACGATGACGAATGTTTGAATGTTTCCCAATTGTGTGTCTGTATGTATGTATGTATATACAAATATATATATGTAGCTAGCTAGCTTGGTGGACGTAACAAACCAACCAGTTTGCTGTTCGCCAAGGTTACCCCCCCCCCCCAAACAAAACCCTGTAGAGGACAAACAAAATGAATCACCAAGTTTCATATGCAGCGCAACTGCCAAGAAGCAAACAGCCTCAGCTCAACAGATGGAGCTCGTTGCCAGCGCGTGTTTGCACTCCCGAGTCCTTCAAACAACGGGTTGAAAATACAGCAAACACAGCTCACACTAATGGTTTAGTTTCGGATTGAACGTGGACCGACGGCTCCGGGGGGGGGGCGTCGCGGATTAGCCTTCCCCGAACAGATCAGCACTCAACACTTAGCATCGCGTGCTAACGTGTTGTGGCCGGGAAAGACTTCGCGATGACTCGTCGGCACGTCGAAGGATGAGAGACGCGCGCGCACACAGATGGCGGACGCGCGTGTCTGGGGATGCGGTGCCAACGTGTGGCATCAATTGGTGTGATATGGAACCAACCGATTGGCGATGATGCAGAATGATGAACAACCGCGGCCAGCTCATCGCCGCTGCCGCATTGAACGTCCCAGCACGCAAAACGACCAATGAGGAGCGAGCGATGCAGGCGACCAATCGCTGCTACCTCGGGGCAAACCGCCAGTTGGTAACAAGCTCGACTTGAACAATAACTTGATGGAAACGCATTGATGACCAACAATCCATCAGCTGCCACAAACCAAAGTTCTCCCAGCCAGTCCGGCGTGTTTTTTGTGTGTGTGTGTGTGTGTGTGTGTGTGTCAGTTAATGTGTAATTGTGTGTAAGTGCATGTGTATCACGCTCTGAGATGGCGTGATAGATGGAAAGGTTCATCATTCCTGACAGATGCTACGTGCTACGCTAAATCACCACTGAAGTGCCTGTGTGTGTGTGTGTGTGTGTGTGTGTGTGTGTGTGTGTGTGTGTGTGTGTGTGTGTGTGTGTGTGTGTGTGTGTGTGTGTGCGTGTGAGAGATGAGTGCACGTCTGCCCCATGATTGCATCGTTCCGAGGAGACGAAGGGGTCGTCCATCGGCATGGTAACTAGCAGTCTTGCTAATATCGTCAACGTGACCAGACAGTGCGTGCGTGCGTGTCCCATCGATCTTGGATTTGAGCATTTGATGGTGAATTCCCGAAGGACCAGTCTTCTCACACGCCGCTGCCTGTCAAGAGGAGCGGCGCCTCACTCGCCGCGTTTCCAGCGAGTCGACGCTAACCGCCGCCGAGGCCCGTCAATCGTTTCGCACGCGATTTACTCTCAATCGGTTGGTCTCCACTCCGGTCGCTTCGTACACCCTCCGTCGATTGGTCACTCACTGTCGACTGGTTGTTCCCCCTTCCGGTCGCTTCATGCGCCGCCGGTGATTGGTCACTTGCTCGCGATGGGTCGGTCTGCGTTTATCATTGATTCTTGATTGACTGGTCTCTGTTCCGGTCACTCCCCACACCACCGGTGATCAGTCAGTTTTGTCGTTTTGTCTTGATTGGTTGGTCTCTGTTCAGAGTTTGTCCCACACATCGGTTGGTCGCAACGTGCATCACCAATGACAGCTCGCTTTTTTTTTTTTTTTTTTTGGCTTACAAATCAGAACGTGTCCCGAGTGGATGTCGTGACTCGCGTCCATCATGCCGACGTGACTCCGTCTACAGGGAAATCCTTCGTTTGTTTTGTTGATGTCAGTCATCGTGATTTTCGTCGCCGGCCCCTCCGTGATCGGCCACCACGCCAGTCATTGCGATATCCCGCAAAAGATGGCCGCCGGGGCGACTTTGGCTGACGCGACCGCTCCCCAAACACGGATTTCCTCCCGAGCGGCCGATCTCTTTCCTGCGCTTTGATGTGCGGCGGCTCCTTCTGCTCCCCGTCCAGGCAATCGCGTGCGGCCCGGACGCCGTTTGTTTGCGTGCGTACAAAAGTCGGATTTGCATAGAAATGCAAGCAACGATCTGCGTTTACGATTTGTCCCTTCTCGAATCGATTTCGAGGTCGTTTCACTTTGTGTTTTTTCCCATTTTCAGGAGATGCGGATGACCGATTCCGTTCAAATTTCGTTTGACTTCGCTCGGCAAGAATTGCCGTTTTTGTTTTCCCCGGACGGACAATGTTTTGCCATCCGTCTCCGTGTCGTCCTCTGCTCCAGGGGTCCGGTGGGCACCGGAATTTGGAGGATGAGGAAGCGCGGGAGGAAGTGCTCGTCCGACCCGAGAGGCAGATGGCCGCTCAGGACGTGAGGACCGAGCGAGCGATTCGGGCATCAGAGCTGAAGCCTCCGCACGCGTTCCCTCCCGCCGACCGGACTGCCGCTCCGGCTCATTCTGCGATGGATCCGGCGACGGCGGCCCATCGGCGGCGGCGGCCCGGACAAAGCGCCGCCGGCGGGAAGTCCTCGGTCTTGGCCTGGCTCGCCCTGCTCTCCGTCATGCGGTTGCCCGCGGCGGCGGGCGACTGCTGGCTGATCGAGGGCGAGAAGGGCTTCGTGTGGTTGGCCATCTGCAGCATGAACCAGCCGCCCTACGAGGCCATCCCGGCCCACATCAACAGGTAAACGCGAGCGCGCCCGCTTCCATCGGCGGGACCGGGCCGAGAGCCTCGACGGACCCTTTTTTCGTCCGCCGACCGCAGCACCGTCGTGGATCTGAGGCTGAACGAGAACAAGATCCGCTCGGTGCACTACTCTTCGCTCAGCCGCTTCGGCAACCTCACCTACCTCAACCTCACCAAGAACGACATCGCTTACGTGGAGGACGGAGCCTTCTCGGCGCAGTTCAACCTGCAGGTGAGCGCCGGCGGCAAGCGGAGAGACGGCCCAGAAACGCGCTGAAAAGTGACACGGGCGGAATGTGACGGCACCGAAGCCCGGTGAAGATGACAAGCGACGTCACGGCGTTCCGACGACGCAAAGCGACGTCATGGCGCGTGTTCACGCGCGCACGCGGGGTTAAAACGGCGCGCGCGGTGGGAGGTGGCAAGATTGACACCTTATCGGATGACATGAAAACCAGGCGCCGGTTTTTCACCTTCGCCTTGGGCCAGGTTAGCGTATTTTCCGCACTAAAAGGCGCACTGGATTATGAGGCGCAATCTACAATGCATCCACTAGATGGAGCTACGCTCCTTGCGTTCGACTCGAGAGGCGTTCATGACCACCTCCGCAAAAACGTAACGATGACTTCAATGAAACTATGAAAATGGAAAATCATGCATCAAAACAGAAAATCAAGCGAGCGAATCACAAGATAAATTCGACCCGACGTATTATCGTAATGACCAGACACAAGGCGCACCGGATTTTAAGGCGCGCCGTCAGCTTTTCAGAAAACGGAAGACTTTTCCGTGCGGAAAATACGGTGCTTGAATTCAGCGAAGCGGCGTGTCAATCGCAGCTCCCTCCCGAACATCCCGCGGCAGGGATGCATCCAGACCAAAGCAATCGAATCCGAGAGTCGTCGCACGTCTCGCTGCCGCCGCCGACATCGCAGGCAGAGCGGAGAGCGTCCCCAGATGCGAAACAGCCAGCCGCCGAGCCCACGTTAGCTCGCCGAGATGACCGGTCGTCCCGCTTGTCTTTGCCCCTCCCCCTTAAAGGTCCTCCAGATGGGCTTCAACAAACTTCGGAACCTGACGGAGGGAATGCTGCGAGGTCTGGGCAAGCTGCAGTACCTTTACCTGCAGGCCAACCTCATCGAAAGCGTGGCGCCCAACACCTTCTGGGAGTGCCCCGGCATCGAGAACGTCGACCTCTCCATGAACAGGTACCTCCGGAACAGGACGCCGAATCGGTCCAAGGGGGGCTTAGCTGGAGATTTTTGATTTGAAGGGGAAAGCAAAGCCCACCCGGAAGCGTTTCTCGACTTAGTTTGGCTCGAGCGAACCGGAATAGGAGACGCGTCGACCGTCCGCGCGTGCGGATCTGTCTTGTCTCGGTCCTCAGGATCCAGGTGCTGGACGGGACTTTGTTCTCCGGCCTCTCCAAGCTGACCACCTGCGAGCTGTACACCAACCCCTTCAACTGCTCCTGCGAGCTTCTGCCCTTCCTGCGCTGGTTCGCCGCCTTCCCCAACCGGACGGGCGACCGCATGGTCTGCGAGGCCCCTCGCGGCTTCTCCGGCTACAACCTGCTGACGGGCGCCGGCGCGGCGCCGGGCCGGCGCGACGCCTTGCACGTGCTGGGCCTGGTGTGCGGCGAGGACGGCGGCAACTCCACCGGCTTCTTGGCCGAGGGGCCGCCGGACGCCGCCACCGCGCCGCCGCTCGACTTTTCCCCGTGCGGCCTGGACGACTGCGCCTCGGGAACGCCGCCGGACGAGGTCATCTACCACACCGTCTTCACCGACATCAATCCCGTCATGACGCTGAAGCGGGTGCTGCACTCGAGCGCCGTGATCACGGTGGAGATCCCGCACCCGTACCGCAAGATGTACATCCTGATGCTGTACAACAACAGCTTCTTCACCGACATCGGGACCCTCAAGTACCAGAGGCAGGACGTGGAGCTGACCGACCTGAAAGCCGACACCGACTACACCTACTGCGTGGCCTCCATCCGCAACTCGCTGCGTTTCAACCACACCTGTCTGACCATCTCCACGGGCGGCGGGGCCAGGCCGGAGCGGACGGCCAGGCGCTCGTCGGCCACCCGCTACATCGTGACCGTGCTGGGCTGCCTGTTGGGAATGCTGCTCTTCCTGGGCCTGGCGGTCCACTGCCTCCGGCGCAGGAGGATCGCCGAGGAGAAGGAACGCAAGCTGAGCCGCATCCAGAGGACGCCGATGGAGCTCGAGTACGGCGACGGAGGCGAGACGGAGAGGCCGCCCCCCGGCGGGGGGGACGCTCCGCCCCGGATGCCCCAGGTGGACCCTCACCGGCTGCGGGAGGTGGCGGAGACGCCGGCGCGCAAGCCCGCCAAGCTCAGCTACGCGGAGGTGCGAGGCTCCGGCGCCGAGAGGCGGCGAGAGACGTCGCCCCGGGCCGACCCCCGGGGCTCCGTGGCCGAGATCTCCACCATCGCCAAGGAAGTGGACAAGGTGAACCAGATCATCAACAACTGCATCGACGCCCTCAAGTCCGAGTCCACGTCCTTCCAGCAGTCCCCTTCCGCGTCGGCCGCCGAGCCGCAGCCGGCGCTCCCCTCCCCGGTCTACAAAGGGGGGCGAGGGGGCCGCGGCTACCGCCGTTCCTCGCAGCGGCACCGTAGCGCGGAGGCCCCCGCCGGCTCCGAGAGGCCCAGCGCCTCCTCGTCCCCGGGCTCCGCCAGGAGTCCCCGTTCTCTCCGCTCGGAGGGGGGCTGCCGCGCCTCGGAGAGCGGCTACGTCGAGAGGGGCTCGCCCGGCGGCGAGGAAGCGGTCCGCACGGTCAACCCGGCGGCGGCCATCCTGCGAGCCGAGGCCCGGAGGATCCGGCAGTGCCGCGAGCACCGCCACTCCTACCCGGGCCCCCGAGAACTCGAGCGCCGCCCGCAGGAGCTCCGCTACCACCCGGGCGGACGCCAGCCCTCCGTCCTGGACCCGCTCACCCTCGGCCTGCAGGCCGAGCAGAGGGAGCTGGCGTGCTCCCAGCTGGCCCCCCGCTATGCCCTGCCCCCCCACTATCGCAACCTCAGCTACTGCTCCAGCCCAGAAGACGAGGAGGACGAGGAGGAGGACGAGGAGGAGGAAGGAGAAGGGCTCCTGTGCACCCCCGCCCTGGGCCTGTGGGAGCGCTTCAAGCTGCACCGAAAGAGGCACCGGCAGGCGTCGGCCGAGGACGAAGGCTACGTGGCGGCGGGCCACGCGCTGCGCCGCAAAGTCCAGTTCGCCAAGGACGAGGATCTACACGATATTTTGGATTACTGGAAGGGGGTCTCGGCCCAGCAGAAGGCCTGAGGGGGGCGGGGCACTGTGGAAAACCTGTAAATACCGAAACACGCAACCCGCATCGCCGGGAACTGAAGAATCAAAAAAACAAAAAACAGGAGGAGGAAATGCTGTTTGACTCAAAACAAAAAGCAGAACTTTGAGATTCACTTTTTGTTCAATATCTAACTAATAGCTCTCTAATTGTGTCGATGTTTTGAGAATTTGACGAAGAAAAAGTGACCCGGCAGCCCGTCCTGAGTTTTCTTTTTCGGACGGGTTGTCAAGAAGAGACAAGAAGTGGCTCCGTTTCTTTCGAGACATTTTCCGGGATTGGACGCAATTGTCATTTGCTTCCAGGGCGGGCGGCCAGGCAACGTTAGCGCCCCCTTTCACCCTGCGACGCACTCGCAACTGGCTAGCTGTCCACTGTGTCCGCGGACCCGCAGCATTTGACTGGCGCGGCGGCAAGTTCGTCGCCGATCCGCTTTCCTTCTCATCATGGATCGCATTTGCCTTGATTTCTACGACCCCCAAATGCGGCGGCGGGCCGAGGAGTCGCCTGCCGCCACGCCCGCCGTATAAGTCGTCTCCGGGTTCTCCTCTTGGCTAAAATGCTTCCCCTTCCCGCGGCCCTCGTTTATCTTGGCGGTGATCTCATCAGGACTGCCGGCTCCTCTTTTCAGCGGAAACGCGACCACCTCAAATCCGGGAATATGCGGCGAGAAGCGCGGGCATCGGGAAGCGTGGCGGCGAGTCCCGTCCACCGTGCCAAATACCGCGTGTGACTCCTCGCCAAACTCTTTTCTAGACGCAATTTCAAGATTTTCTAAAAAGATTATCCTCGTTATTATTAAGTCAAATTCTGGACTCTTATTCTTATCTTCTTACTGTTCCTACGATCCTCCTCATTAACGGGGGGAAGAGCTTCGAACTCTTCAGGGATGTGGGCGGGGGGATGCCGTAGCTCCACTGTGTCTCATTGCAACGTCGTTTTTTTTTTTTTGTTTGTTTTTTATGTCTTTGCTTTGTATCTCTGATTCCACTGTGGTGCCGTTGTGCCAAACTTGACAAGTACAAGAACGTTAGATGTTAGCTCGTGAGTTTGAAAAAACAACTTCAAATGAATGTTTTTAGTTCCCGCGAACAAGTGG